CAAATGTTTTATATTTAATATTCATACAATGTGTGTATGTGTATATATATATATATATATATATATACATACACACATTCATCCATTCTGCTAAAACTATTTATTATAGGAAAAATACACTATAAACACTTCATTGAACATTTTTGAGTGATGAGTCAAACTAATTGTTGAAACAGTGTTTTAAGTTTAAATCAGAAAGCATATTCAAACATTCTTAACACTGTCCTACTCACAAGTCGCAAGACAAGGAATTCTGAAAAATAGCCCAGTCATATGGTCTGATTTTGCTTATTTTAATATCATCATGAATATATTGTGAATATTCAATGTATTACCCAGCCTGAGTGAATGCAGTTAATTTTTATGTGTTCTTGTTTTGGTTTCTCTTAAACCGTTTTGAAGCATTGAGAGTGTCTTGCCTACATTGTAGGCCCACAAGTAAGTGTGTGTGTGTGTGTGTAAGCCACAGCCAGAGACTGGTCTCCAGGGCGGTCCACAGGTGTTGAAGGTCTGAGCACCATGAGATGAGCCTGGTGCTTTGGATCCCACACCAGCAGTCATATCAATGATGTCACCCCCCCTCATACAAAATTGATATGAACAGCACAGGGTCGACTCAAGTTCAGCCTTAGCCACACTGGAGACTCGGCACTTTCCAGAAAAGCCCTGAGGCAAACGTAACCCCGCTTCACACCTCCCTTCACTCAATCTCCGTTTTCTCCTGCCATCACAGCCTGCGCGGATGTGTCACCTATTTGGCACTCTGTGTCAAGTGCCCTTGATCGAGCCTCACTTGCCTCGCAACTATTTTTACTCAACTGAAAATCACTTATTGTCGTCGAACGTTTCTTATTTGCATTGCTCACGAAAGACCTCACATTAGAAGCAGCTGATGATTTGAGCGGAGCGAGAAAGCTATTACATTCTGAGATGTCAAGAGCGTTTTGTTCTTGGCCCTTACACTGATCCCTGCTACGTTCATGACATATACAACTGCTCTTAGAGATAAACATGCTGAAAAGAAAAGATAATACATATACATGGGTGAAAACACAGTAAGAGGCTATGACTGGAACCAATACATTGAGTCAAGTGATATTCCATCATATTTGCTCATTTATGAATGTATGGTTAACCTGTTGTGCCATCGACTAAAGCCACACTTGACAGCAAATGGGCATTCTTAAGAATAAATTTGTGAATTTCACACCATGGGTGGTGAAAACCGTCTACACTTGACCCTCTAACACTAAAACTATCTATTCAATTTCTGTTCTATCTACTTGTTTTCATTTGATTAAAAAAAGTAACCTTCTAACGCTATCTACTTTCTATCTTTCTAATTATTATGAAAAGAAATAACTTGACCCTCTAACACTAGCTGTATCTATTTTCTCTTTTTTATCTACTTTTTATTCTTTTTATTTATTATAAAAAAAGAAGAAGAAGAAAAAAAAACAAAAAAAACTTGCTACGTGTACTGCGTTAGACTAACCGGGACTTGACAGAACACTTACAGTATATATTGTTGCTCTTTTGTTGGTTTTGATTGCTTCTATTGTCCTCATTTGTAAGTCACTTTGAATAAAAGCGTCTGCTAAATGAAAATGTAAATAAAGTACACTGTAAAAAAAATCTGTAAAATTTACGGTAAAAAAACTGGCAGCTGTGGTTGCTGGAATTTTACCGTAAAAATACGGTAGCAATGTTTTAGGTTTTACGGTTTTAACTTAAATTTACAGTTAAATACCGTAATTTCATTAACTGATATAATGTTAATATACCAACCTATTGAAGTACTGAAATCTGTTTTGTACCTTTGTAATACACTGATAACCACCAAATGCAGGTGGTGATGAGAAAGTCACACAATGAACCAAAGCCTATCACAAGCAGCTTTTAAATAATAAAATATATAGAAGGTGCACAGTGTCATTCACACAAACACCAAACACCATCATGGTGACACACATGAAACTGAAATAATGCAACAAACATTCATT